ATTGATGAATCAGCCCATTTCCAATTACAATTCTACTGTGCATAAGAACATGGTTAATGTCCCCCCTTTGGGAATGGTCTAAAGACACTTCAGTCATTAGCACCGGCACGGGGTTGATAAATGGGTTCAGAGTCTGTCTTGAAAATTCCACAAGATCCGAATGAAAGAACGTTCTCCCTGTTGGGGATACGAACCAGGCACGTTCGCTTCTTAGTCGGGCATGATACCAAACTGGGAAGCTAGAAAAATTAGTTTTTAAAAGCTTTAAATTAAGGATTGATCTACTTGTCACCTTGGAATGTTTTTATTCTTTTAAATGTAGAACCTATAAGTAAGGTAAAGTGGAGTCGGTAGCCTAGTGATTAGGTTACCCGACTCGTAGTCGTGAAGTTGCGGGTTCGGGGGGTTCGAGCATCAGGCCGATCGATCTTTGTGTCCTTGGGAAAGGAACTTTACACGAATTCTTCTAACTTCACCCAGGTGTGAATGGATACCCTGCCATACACAGCAAAAGATCTTGTCAGGATATAAGTGTTTCTCCTATAAAATTGCAGCTTGCTTTGTGTGCTTCCCAGGAAGTTGAGATTGTTTCAGAATGCAATCAGGTGTGCTGGGGTAATAGTATAGTGCGGTCAAAATTTTATGGCGAAACTTATCCTCAAATATCTCCATACTTACTTTGCACAGCAGTTTGTATCAGTTTGTCTCAGCTTCATCATATTTTCCCACAACAATTGAGGCTAGATTAAAATAACTTTTCTTCATAAATTTATATAAAATATTATAATCTCTGTCACGCGGAAAATTGGATTGTTCACAGCTCTTCCCGCTTCTCACACACATTTTGTATACGCATATATTAAGGCGTACGTCACAAAATACACTCTTTTTTTCGGCAAAACTTGTTGCATGTACAAGAAATTAATTTTATTGCGAACACATTTTTTGCACTAAAGGTTACCAAAACATGCGTTCAATAAAGATGTGTGGCGACAAAGAATCTACATAACAAGAGGGGCCACTCCTCTCTTTGAGTTTGAGCCAATTAAAAAAGTGTCCTCAAAATTCGGTGGCACCCTCTTCGCAAATGCGCACCCTTTGCGAACAGAGTTACCCTACTTGTGTTAAAAAACCAAAGTGAAACTAGCAAGTTTTTTAATAAATTTCGGAAGAACGCTTTTTTAAAATGATTACACTGACAAAACAAAACCTGTTCCGGAGGACGGGGTGATTGTTTTCTTCGTTTACTTTAATTTGACTTTAGAATGAAAGGTGAGAGGTCATTAAAATAAAGAAAAACCTAAAACTCCGCACTGAACGAACCCGAACTGCTGATGAACAGCAGTCGATCTGCGCACACAAGGAGGTGCTATTCCTATTCTTCTTCTGGAAAAACGAAAGAGAGCTTCAAAACAGACTGCAGCGCCATCTGAAGCAAAGAGCATACTTCCTGCGGACATTTTTTTGGCTGAGTGGCCCATCTTGTTATTCACTATCTTTGTCCCCACTCAAGAATCGAACTTGGCTCTCTTGTGTGAGACAGACAGGCGCCCAATCGCTACACCACAGAGGCTGGTGGAAGCGATTTGGCCAAATTGATGTAGTATGAAGCTAAGATACGATAGAAGTTAATTTTTATAATAAAACATTATTATAATATATGTATCGCTGGTTCGTGTTGCGATGGAAGAGCGTTCTTGTGGGCTGGACTTATTGATACTACTAACTTTGTTCAGATTCTACAACAAATACTTGCTTGCTTTTTCTTTTGTTTAGTAAGAATGTGCCCCTTCTTTCCAGTCACGGGCCTTGTGTTACTGCTACGAACGTTGTCTTTGTTTTGCTATTTACGATCCCAAATTTCGTCAAACTAATTCAGGGATAAGTTCAAGAAAGTGGACTTGGTCGTCATCTTAAAGGTAGGAATTTCAAAATTTTTAGTAACTCTATCTACTGGGCGTTATAATTTTTATAATTTCTTTCTCGTATTAAGTCACAACGGTGGTTGGTTGGTGCTTTTTTAAATTTGTGTGCTATCTTTTTTAGTTCAGAAGCAGCGACCATTTTTGTGAATCAATTTTCGCCCTGATTTGGCCAAATGTTTGCACTACATTTTGTGCCACCAAACTACCAAATTTTTGCTTCAAAACGTCATATTAATGATAGTTGTATCGTAACCATTGATGTATCAATTTGTTTGTTGTTTTATGTAGAATCAGTATATAAACAATAACAATCAAGTACATAAGTATTAGGGTAAAATTCCATTGACCGTTTAATTACGTCATAAGCGTGACGTCGGAAGTCCATTAAAAAAAATCGGCACATTTTCCATAATAATGGACCGGTTTTCAAAAGAAAAACATCACTCATTTTGTTATAAAGAGTTCTTTAACTTGCTATTGCGAAAAATGATTGAAATTGAAAACAGTTTCAATCTTACAAGCATGACTTAAGCAGGAGGTTGGCGCGGGTGCTCTGGGGTGTGGGTTGTTTCTTTTTTCCTATTAACAATCAACCGTCCTTCTCTGTCCTCGTTCTTTTCTGTGAATGTTACTCTCTTGTAACACCTCTAATCTACCTATTTGTGTTGCAAGTGCCGTTAAACCCATGCAAAAACTAAACTAAAAAAAAAACGAAACACAGATTTGAAGAAAAATATATAAAATTTAACGAGTATGAGATTGATACACGAATCACTATATGTGAGGCAGCGTGGTGGAATCAGACTCTCGTCAATTTTTGGGCATGTAGAGTTATTGGTATCATCTAAAAGCTTGTTCACTTGTCTTTATTTGAATGAAAAAAGTATCCATTTATCATGAATATAAATCGAGATATTTGCGAAAGAATGAGGTCGGGGTCGCCTGTTTTCAGAGGTAAAATTAGTGAGAAAATGGCCGCCAAAGGTTAGTTATTTCCTTAGCTTCAGAGTCCGTGGTAACTGAAAATTTACATTTTCTGTGCCTTTAATCAACGCTTTTCAGAAAAATTCATACAGAAATGAGTTCTAGGCATGAAAGGTGTTGCGTCAAAAATCAAAAATTTAATAAAAATTCACAAACCTGCGGAAAAAATGCAAGTTTCTTCATTTTGATTATTTTGAAAGTGAAGAAACATGCATTTTTCCGCAGGTTTGTGAATTTTTCTCAAATTTTGTTTTTTTAGCTCAACACATTTAATGCCCATTAATGAGCTAGTTTTCGTGTGGATTTTTCTGAAAGACATTGATTAAAGGCTAAAAAATGTAAATTTTCAGTTACCACGGATACTTAAGCTAAGGAAATAACTAAGCTTTGGCGCCCATTTTCTCACTAATTTTACCTCTGAAAACAGGTGAGCCCCATCTCCTTCTTTCGCAAATATCTCGACTTGTATTCTAGATAAATTGATTTTTTGTTCGTCCTAATAAAGACAAGTGAACAAGCTTTAAGATCATACCAATAATTCTACATGCCCAAACATTGACGAGAGCCTGCCTCACATATAGATCTATGATGATTACTGAGGAGCATCAAACACAGATATATGCTCCATGCAGTGACTAATACCCCGAACAACTGCGACAATAGTTCTTTGATCAACTGAGTGATCTTTTAAACATCATAGATGACAAAGATAATGTGACAATCATGGGGGACTTTAACGGCAGAGTGGGAACTTGAAAGATGGCGTGGGAGAGATATATGGGGCCACGAAGTGACAGAGAAACAGAATCAGATTAAAACAGCAATGGAAAAATGCTATTACAGTACTGTTGGGCGCAGAACATGACCTCATCATATCAAATACCTTCTTCCAACACAAAAGGAGTCCGGTTAAAACTTGGTACAAATGGAATGACCTAAAGACAACATCACACATTGATTTTATCCTGGCCAAAAGATCGAAACTGAGAAAAATAGAGAGTGATACCCAACTAGGCTATATCATAGACACTGACCTCAGACGAATCATTATGACTATCGACACACCAAACAGGAAAAGGCCAGAAGCAAAGAAACAACGAGAAGCCGTAAACAAGACAGACAGCGGAACCTAAACAGGAATATCCATTCTCAGCCATGCGGGTAAAACGTTTGCCAAGATACTGGAATGAGAATGAGAACAGTTGTAGAGACTCAACTCAATGAATCCCAGTTTGGCTTCAGAAAAGGCAGGGGCTGTACTGGCGCTATTTATGCTTTACGACAGTTGTGTGAGACTGCCATTGGACCTCAATATCGTCTTCGTGGACCAGGAAAAGGCGTTCGACCGGGTAAATAGATGTCAACTTTGGGAAGTCTTAGAGGAGTATGGTGTAACAGGACAATTGCTTTAGAACATCGTGGCACTTTATAAAAACAGCCTGTGTGCCGTAAGATCAACAGAAGGACTCTCGGACTGGTTCTCCATCATGTCTGGGGTGAGACACAGGTGTGTTCTCTCTCTGCTTCTCTTCATCACTTACATGAATAAGATCACGAAAG